GTGAGCATATTAATGAATATAGTTTCTCTTTATCCTTGTATCTTAAAAAAGAAGCATCAGCACAACTTCAAAATCATTGTTGAATCCCCCCAGAGAACCAAGTGCATGTAGTACCAGGTCCCATTCTGATCGGGTGCTGTGTTTGCTAAGCTGGCGTGGATGTCTGTGCCTCCCCCGCTCCCCCCCCACCCTACTGTTAGACCACGCTACTCAGCAAGAGACACACTTAGGCTGGCCATACACCTTGCGATCATCGGACGACACTTTTCGCCCAATGGTAGAAGCGTTGTGCGATTTTCGTACGGCGGCCCCATCCTGCCCCGATTATCGCAAGGTTGGATCAGCGGTAATTAGAAAAAATCACCTGGACAAATTGCGGTAATCGACCGCACGTATTTTCATCTGCGCATGTGCAGTGTAGGTTGTACGAATTTTGACGTACAGAAACGCCACTAACCGTGTGAAAATCATACGATCAACTGAAGTTTTCTAACCTGCTGGTTAGTCAAAAGTCGATCGATTGTACAGTATTTGCGGCTGTACACCGCCCATCAACCTTACGAATATCGGACAAAAACACGATCGCATACGAAAATCGGCCGATATTCGTAAGGTATATGGGCACCTTTATAAAGGAGGTCTGAGTGACAGCCCCCCTCCCCCCGCAAATCGGACGCATGGTAAAACTTTGACCGCGTTCCGTTTTTCCGTTCCACTGCAAACGCAAGAAATGCTGCTTGCTCTATTTTTTGCGTTTGCAGTGGAATGGAACGAACGCAGGGGGAAGTTTTGTGAGGGATTGCGGTGCGTTCCTGCAGCTACCGCTATGAAACATACCGCATGCGGTGTGAACAAGCCCTGAAGGCGTATTGGATTAAAGCATATCAGATGATGTGTATTTTGTGTAATGAGGCCTTAGGAGACTAGCACCCCATATCAAGGTGTGCATAATAATTAAGCAGCTTCTTGTCCTCAGGCAAAATGGGCCACAAAAAGAGATTTAACTGACTCTGAAAAGTCCTTGAGAGGGATGCAGCACTCTTGAAATTGCTAAGATATTGGGGCGTAATCACAGAACCCTCAAGTGTTTTGTTGCAAATAGTCAACAGGGTCGCAAGAAACGCGTTGTTCAACAAAAATTTTCCATCCTGCTACTTGGATTTTTTTCATCACACAGGATTATTGTCGATTTGTCCCAATTAACTATTAGAAAATCAAATGAAGGTTTCAAAAACAATTTGTTTTCACGCATTTCTAACGGTGAATACCCAAGTTTAACACAGACGGCACGCTGCCTATAGGACATTCTTAGGCCTTATTCACACGGCCCGCTTGCATTTGTTTTAGTTCAACAGAAGAGAAATTGAACTGGGAAGTCGGTGCTTGTTTTGCAAACATAAGCATAAGGTACAAGTGTGTGTACATACTGTATAAATGCATTTAAGACCTCATGTACACGACGCAAGAGCAAAATCGTATATTGCGTATATGCACTAATGTACGCGCGTATATGCGTGCTCTGTATGCAATCCCAGAATGCATAATTTTTAATAGAAATTTTTATGTACTGTACGTGCGTATACACGCGCACACGTGTGTGTATATGGTCATACGCGCATAGAATACGCAGACATTCTGAGCCCGGACGCATCTCGGTTCCATTCCCCCCCCCCCCCCCACTCCATGCGCAGCTATGTGTACGGAGCCATTTATTTGATATGCTGCTTATGGGAAAATACGCAGCATATTATACGGCAATGTGAATGAGGCCTAAGTGTTCCAGAGCGACTGCCACCTCTTATTCTACAAATGTTAATTTGCCTAAATTGGAGTTGATCTTTAAAGAATAACTTCACTTTTTAGGCCCCATTCACACAGCGCCTAATGCTACGGCTGGGGATTTCTGTGGCAAGAATCTATGGATTATCGTGGCAGGAATCCCAGATGTGTCCACACAGATGCAACCAGCTGTGTCTGTTCAAGTTAAAGAAGAAAGCCTGGAATTTTATTTTTAATTAACCCTCTCAGTGGAGCTACCCCCGCACTGCAAGGGTTAAGTGCTCATTTTGTTTAGGTTCAAAAAACCCAAAAAGTGATACTCAGCAGATGCTCCAAGCTAACTTCTTCTTAGACTGGTCCTTCCAGTGTAAGGGCTAGTTCACACCATCCTCGGCCCGATTGTGGCCGGAATGCACTGGATCGCATTGTTTTGGAACGGGAGGGGGCATGACGTTGAATTCAATTAGTGCCTGCGTTCCGGTGCAGTCAGGAAAAAAATAGTGCGTGCGCTACTTTTTCTGACTGTACCGGACCAGAACGCAGGCACTGATGTGCCACGTGTTCCCGTGCAACCGATTGCATTGCGGCCGGAGGGCGTGGCTGCAGTGCCACAGGGCGTGGCTTCCGGCCACAGTTGGGCCGGCACGCAATGAGGATGGTGGGAACTAGCACTTAATCATCACGTCTATACACAGTAAGGGGAATTTATCAAAACTGGTGCAGCTGTGCACGGTAGCCAATCAGCTTCTCTTTTTTTAATTTTCAAGTCTTCACTGAACAAACTGAAAAGAGAAGGTGATTGGTTGCTGTGCACAGCTGCTCCAGTTTTTGATAAATCCCCCCCCAGTGTATAGATGTGAGAATGCTGAGGAACAATCTAATGCTGCAGTGTAGGAGGGGAGAGGCTGGAGGGAGCGCTTTGACAGCTGGCCGGCTCGGACCTTTGGGTGAGTATAACTGTTATTTTAGCACTTAGACAAAAACGAGCACTTACCTCTTGCATTGTAGGGGAAGCCCCACTGAAAGGGTTAAGCAAAACTTTTTCTTGAGTTCTTTTTTAATGACCAGCTGATAGAGGCTGTCCCTGTACTCAATCTGTTTGTGTCAGTGGACAATCATCTATCCCCAATATCCCATACAGGTACGGATGCAGACTGTCCGCATCCAAGGCGTTTCATCCGTGTTTGTACAGATATGCAAGGTGGGGATGGTTTGTAGCCATGTGCAGCCACATCCTGTCATACTGTTGTACAGATGGTGCATGGACCTGGATCCACCATGTTTGCATCCAATTCCATACATCGTCTGTGTGCAGCTGTCACAATTCGGGGCTGCGGAATGCAGCGTGTGAAGGCGCACACCTCCTGCATTTCCATAAACCATAAACTTACATGAGGTGAGTGCTTTTCACTCACCTCATAGTTCTAGCCGACCTGTGACAATGAGACTGTCACAGGTCGGCTCAGTAGATCGGGAGGTGAGCGAACACATATCGGCGTTCGCTCACCTCTCGATCCTGTCACAGCTCTCTGTCGTGACAGGGGAGGGGCTGGATTCCCCCCTCCCCGCTCTGATCCTCCAGCGCTGACTGGCGGAACGGACAGGGAAGGGGGCGGGTACAGCTGGCTCTGCCTCTAGATAGCAGAGCCAGCTGTCACTCACGCAGCTGGGCGGATCCCGGCATCATTTTTGGGATCCGCTTCAGCGTCTCAGTATACCGCGAGCTGCAGCTCGCGGTATACTGAGCTTAGGGTGACGGGAGGACGCTAGTTTGTGTCCTCCCGTTACCCTAAGGAGAACTATGGGGAAAAGCCTTAACCCCATAGTTCTCCTTTTAAAGCTCGTACGATCTGCCCATCATAGACAGGCAGATTGTACTTGCGATCATCGAAAGCCCGCCCCGCTGAGGGGTGGGTTTTCCGATGACCGCAATGCTGAATGGGCAGTGTGCGCGGGTTTTCTAGCATGCTGGTTCGAAAAAAGACGTGCGACTGTACAGTAAAAACGGTCGCACGCCTTCCATACACCTTGCGATTATCGTACGATCACGGGATTTCCAGCGATTATCATACAATAATTGCAAGGTGTATAATTGCAAGACTTGATGATGTCAGTAGTCCTTAGACCGCCCGGGGGCGAAGAAGCTGCGTGGACTGGTCTAGCAGCTAGGATCGAGGATCAGGGGAATATATCTGCTTTATCTGAGCCCCTTAGACAAAGCAAGCACTTAATCCTTGCAGTGCAGGGATCACCTGACTGCAAGGGTAAGTTTTTTTGTTTACCTTGTGTTATTGGTTCAGGCAGGGAGATCTCAATGTAGGAATAACCAAGACTTAAACCCCATACTCTACTTATAAATTAAAACGTCACCTTTGGGGGGGGTTTATTAAAAGTGCACACAGGGAAATAAAGCGATATTACAAATTATCCGTCACCACCTGTAGAAGAAAATAAACTACAATCCATCATCGGTACTCACCCTCTCAGCACTGGGCCACCACAGCAGGTTCATGAAGGCGATTCTGAATGACTTTACGCAGAGAAGGTCTTCGGTCTGTATATAGCATGATCCCCAGTCCATGTATCACAACTCAGCAACTATATTAAGGACACTTGGCAGCCACCGCGCAGGAGGAGGTCTGTGTGTGCCACTCCATGATCACAGCTCTGCAAGTGCAGCCAAAGTGCCTGAAAGCAATCAGAGGAAGCAGCACATTATATACACAGCAACAGCCCCATTCACAACAAAATCATGTGATTCATAATCAGAAAGTATAAGGTTGCTCTACAAACCAGCACAGATGGGAGATCACACAGCAGCAATGTGCTGAGTGTAAACGTTGTGTAGTACAGAGCCACATCGTGTCATCCTGCACTGTGTGTAGGGAGTTGTACAGGATGTGCACAGCTCTCATCACACACTGGGAGTAGATGATGATACAACATCACAATCCTTCCACCCAGCAGACACAACATAAACACCGGCTCAGTGTTGTGCGCCCGACCGCATCATATTTTACACGTGCGGGAATAAGAATTATTTTAGCTTACTTTCGCTCAATTTGTATTTTTTGCTGTTCTTTATAAATTAAGAGCAGAAAAGTATTTAGAATTGCAGTACTAAGTTAGTATTTGCTCTCGTAGCACGGTGTTCGGATCTCGCCCGCCCGCGCAGCAACCCGAACCCTAGAAACAAGCAGCGGACTGGGCGCCGCGGTGCATTGTGGGGTAGCCGGAATAGCAGAGCACGTTGGTGTATGTGGACAGCATGGCGACCTCCGGGAAGAGGTGAGAACCGGGCATGAAGGGGGATTTGAGGGGTGTTTGTGGAGTATTAGGTGGAGCAGCGTGTCATTTTACAGACAGGGATAAGAGGAGAAGACTTGGTACCGCGCTCCGGTATAATTGTGCACTATAGGGCGGTGTTAGATAGCTGTGCTCCAGGGACAGGCGATATAAAACTGATATGGTCCCTGGAATATAGAACTTTGCACATTTTTAGGCCTTGTTAGGGGTAAAGAGCAGGCATTTGCTTCACTTTAAGGCCACATTCACACCATGCTCTGCGTTTGCTGTGTGTCCCCATTGAGCTCAGTGGGGTCCTGAACGTGCAGCAAACGAGGTAAAAAAGAAGCTCATGTAGCAAACTTTGACATACGCTTTGCGTTTGTGTGTGTCCTAATGCGTGCAAACGTGGAGGAAAACTGCGTTTTCCTGGCCGCATTTAGGGTGGCATTCAAAATGAATGGCAACAAAAGCGCCATCTCCTTTTGCAGGGTTTCTGTCGGAGCACGCGGTTCGGCGCGCGTTCACGGAATGCGCAGGTGTGAATGTGGGCTGAGCCTCCGTTCACACAAGCGTTTCCAGTCAATCTTGACGTGTACTGTTGCACGTTTTTCAGGCTTTGAAGGGTTTTAGCCGATGGAAAGCTGGGTACTAGGAGGACGGGGTGGTTGTCGGGTGCAAAGTCACGTCCTCAAGGTGCTCTCAATTAGGTCCCTGGGGCCAAAAAGGTTCAGTTCTGCCCCCAAAAAATATGCTTGTGTTGTGTACTTTTTCGAGCATCAAGAGACAGGTGACAAAACGTTTGGGTGAATGGGCACCATTAAAAATAATGGGATTCTTCATGTTGAATGTTTGTTGTGCTTCAGGGTACACGTTATGAGACGCTTAAGTGTTCTAAAGGGTTCATTCATTTTTATTATTAAAGCTGCAGTCCGGGGCACAAAGATTTTCATTTAAATATATTGCTCAGTTGCCACAAAGGATATAAATCTACCTTGTGTGCACCAAACACCTTTGTGAGCTCAGTTATTCCCATATAAAAGTAACAATGACATCATCACTGTGCTGCCCATAAGTTATGATGAGAGCAGGGCTGTGGGAGGGACCAAGCAGACCCCAGACACTACAAGCTGCCTGCAGAAAACTACAGGAGGGGGGCGGATACATGGCCATTCACACTGCACAAGGAGAGAGAGCAGCAGAGACTGGATCTCCTCCACAGAGGAAACGTTTCACACTGGATTACTGCACAGATCCCCACTCTTTCTAAACAAAGGGCCAGTTTACTCTCCAGAGTTTGGGGGTAGATTGTGTGAATAGAAAATTACATGGGCGTGATCAAGTAGAAGTAAGCAGAAGTAAAAAAGAAATAGAACCCCATTGTTGTTGACAGTGGAAGAAATAGTGCTCTATCTTATCTCATCAGTGGAAAGAATTGGCCTCTTCACTGGCATCATTCACTTCACTGTGCCCCACCTTTGGTGTCAGTGGGAGGAGTAGTGCCCATGGTCGGTGTCAGTGGGAGGAGTAGTGCCCGTGGTTGGTGTCAGTGGGAGGAGTAGTGCCCGTGGTTGGTGTCAGTGGGAGGAGTAGTGCCCGTGGTTGGTGTCAGAGGGAGGAGTGGTGCCCGTGGTTGGTGTCAGTGGGAGGAGTGGTGCCCGTGGTTGGTGTCAGTGGGAGGAATGGTGCCCCATGGTTGGTGTCAGTGGGGGTGAATGGACACCTCCGTTTACTCACGGCTGCCCATTGACTAACATTGGGCATCTGATCAGGCTTGGAATACTGCTAGCAAGCAGTAGATATAGGCAAAAAGTAAAAAAAAGAAAAACTGCTTTAACAGCGGTTTGGACTTACCGTGTTATCGCTGCGCGCTCCCGCCCGAGAATCTGACACTGATCGAGCGGCCGCAAAGCATCTTGGGGCGGACGCATGCGCAGTTCGGATTTTCGGCCGGGAGACGAGCAGAGACGGTAAGTCTGGGTAAGGTAAGTCTATGGACGCGTGCACCCTCATGCAGACAGCGCTGGATCGGTGCCTGCAGGGACAGAGGAGTCAGCGCTGGATCGGAGAGCCGCCGCACCGCTGGAGGGACAGATGAAAACATCAGGAAAGATCGGATTAAGGTCTCGTTCACACCTAGGCGTATTGCATATGCGCGTCTGTCGCGTGTTTTTTTTACCGCGATTTGCGGTAAAAAAAAGTTGCGTTTCCTGAAGGCTACTTAGCTGTATCCCAATGGAAACGCGCAACAAAACGGCCCAAAGTAGTACCTGCACCTTTTCAGGCGTGGGCCGTTTTGTAGCGCGTTAGGGACGGGCGGAAATACGCCAAGGTGGGAACAAGACCATTGAATACAATGGGATTTATATTTTTGAGCGTTTTGTAGAGCGTTCGTCGAGCGTAGAAAGCGCTACAAAACGTTCAGGTGTGAACGAGAGCTTAGAGACATCATTTAAGGTAAGTGCTGACATTAACATGGGTGAGAGGGGAAAATAAATTAGACTTTAATGTCACTTTAAGGCAGTTTTCGTACTTTAAATATCCAGGGGGTGGGCCATTTATCAACAGGTAAAATATGACATTACTTTGAAGTCTATTTTGCTTACAGAGGAGGCGATTTTTTTCACAATCGCAGCAGAATCACCAATCATGGCAGCTGAACTGGAAGTGAAATGATTACAGCTTTGTGTTCATGTTGGCTAATTAGAACTGTAAAAAATTATACATTTCTAGTATCTGTTTTGTATTTCTTCCTTTTTTTTGTTCCTTTCTTAATGTGATTTTGCTTTCTACTTCAGAAAACTTGCTCAACTAAACCTAGATGAATTCTTGACCACGGGTCTGGATTCTGAAGGCGACTCTACAGAGGAAACAAATAATGAAGTATTAGAAGAGAAAGTCAAGACCAAAAAAGTGAAGGTGAAAACGAAGAAAGCACCAACAGCTGAAACCAGAGCGAAGTAAGATTTTCTATTACTGTTCCCTCACATTTCTAATGTCACATGTCTGTTATGCCAAATTGAGGGTTTTGTGGTTAACAACCAAATCCTGTAACTGTAGTGTGCCCGGGGGGGGTATTTCACCAGCTCTTGCCATAATGTGCAAGTATGCATAATACATTTCCACAATATGACAGACTTACCTCTGGGTTTGGCCTTTTCCATCACTGACTGCTCGTGTGTCCTGACATGGTCCGTTAGTTGTTAGCACCAACAGCCCAAATGGGCGAAGCACAGGTTTGTTTAAATTAATCTAATCCCTGAAGATATCCCTTGTTTCTTGGCTGGATATAACAGTGGTGGTCAACTAAGCTGATAAATGGGGCTATGAAAAAATATGTTAGGCATTTGCCATAACCCCTAGCACCACCAAACACTTCTCATCACCTTTCCTGACATTGATTCATGTGTTTATGGCATGCTGTGTGTGGGTGCCTTCCTTTGGTAACATTCCTCTGGAGTTTGGGTCCTGTCATGATGGAGGCTGTGGAGACAGAGGCTGTGGTGATGGCATGCTTTTTGGGCCTCAGTCACACAGGTGTGCACATCCATGCAGAGACCTGCTCCCGGGAGGGATAGGTTCAGCCTGTAATTGCATCCAGCTGTTGTACAACCACGTGACAGGATGTGGCTGCGCTCAGCTGCATGCCGACCTAAACCTGCGTATCCGTGCAGGTCCAAGTGCGTGCACGTGGACCTGCACAGATGTGCTGGTTCACGTTGGAGTGCAGACGTGTCTTGTCATAGAGATGTACAGGCTGCACATGTCCTTCCCAGGAGGGTGCCTGCCTGTGTAAATGAGGACATAGCATCTCAAGCTGGCTACTTATTTTTTTTTTTTTGGAGTGATGGCATCTTCTGCACAATTATATCGCCAACGCATACCTTATTCTGATATGTGAGCCCTTAGTAAAAGCAGTTAAAGCTCTTCAGGGCTTGCTGGCTTTATAGTTAGAAATGTTGAGACACTCACCAGCTGTGGCTTTAAGCCTAGGGTTGCATATAATGCTCTTTGGAATAAAAAAAAAAGTCCAATAAAAAGTAATAGTAATAAACTGTATATGCCGTATATATTTCTGGTTCACTTGTTATATTTTTTTTTCCTCAAAATGATTTTCAGGTCTTTTTGGGAGAAGGTATTTAGTTCGAAAAAGCAGTACTTATGTAGTGTGTGATGACTTTACTTGTTTCTTTGGTATCATAGGGGGGAGACGCTAGTTATAAAACCTATAGAACAGAAAGTAGTACAAAACTCTAGTTCTTACCCATAGTCGCCATTCAGATTTTAATCTGACTATTAATCTTGACACTTTGGGTAGCAATGTTATTTTCTTACACATTCTATGTGTTATAAATTGGTAGAATTGCGTACTTTATTAACTGTCATATTTTTATTTTTTTAAGTATGTATAAGGCCAAAACTTTTTTAAATTCCTTTTTGGATAGAGTAGGGAAGGATTAAACTAGTCAGGTTTTTGTCATCTTTGTCACATTCAAGAAATGTCCCTTCGGTTACCATCCCTTAACAGGAAATATTGCACAGGAAGTGAGGGGAAATTGCCCCCCCCCCCCCCCCCCCCTCAGACAGAACAGCTGTCCCCATTGGAACATTTCTTGTTCTGGGACAACTCAGAATTTTAGGTTTTGCCCTTTTTTCAGTCAGTTCATCACCAGGTCAAAAAGAGTACTTTAAAACAAATCTTGATGCATCCAGTCAGATTAAAAGTAAAATGCATGTCTGTACAAAACCATAGTTCATTGTAAACCTTTTCCACTGAAGGAAGGTGAAGAATAAAGGCAAAGCGTCCGAGCATAAGAACCAGCTGTCCCGTCTTCAAGATAAAGATCCCGAGTTTTACAAGTTTTTAAAGGAAAATGACCAAACTCTCCTCAACTTCAATGACTCTGATAGCTCAGATGAAGAAAGTGGTGCTCACCAGCTTCCGGATCACTTAGAGGTAGGAGATTATGTGCTCGATAACAGCCTGATGTAGTTTCGTTCTGTGTGTCCAGATAAAAGCGATAGAATGTACAGTCCCCAATGCTGGCAACTCCCCAGTGCTACTTTGGGGGCCGTTTTATGACTATTTTTTTTTTGTTTATTTTTTTGGCATCTGGTTTGCTTGAATCCCAAATCCAGCCAATACTTTTTATTTATTTTTATAGAGTGGGGGAAAGGTAAGAATATGTGTCCAGTTTTAGTGCTTTTTTTGTTATTGGGGTGCCACACAGTCACTTCTGCCCCAGTAACAGGGTGTCACTAGGATTTGATGGGAGACCTCTGAGATGAGGGCAGAGACAGCTTTACACAGGGCTAAGGTGTAACACAGCCTAAAATAGTATTAACCCTTCCGCTGCCACCGACGTAAGGCATACGGCGGAACAAAAGTGTTCCCGGCTGGCCAGCTCAGTAGGCCTTACGTCGGTGGCATTTACAGTTCTGCTATAAGCTCATGGTCGATTTAGCGACCATCAGCTTATAGCAGATGTAAAACAAAATAAAATGATTTAAAAAAAAAATAAAAAATGTGTAAAAAAAACAAAAACCTAAACATTAAATTAACTGTGACAGCGCCTGGCAAAGCTTTGTGACTCATTGCCATGCGTTGTGATACCTTGTGTTGCTATATTTTGATGATACAGATCTGATCACAGCACAAGTTTCCTGATCTTTACACAGCTGTGTCCTTGAGCCCATCGAAAATCTTCATATGAGAGGCAGACCGCAATCAAAAGCTGACCGGGGTTCCAACCCCTTCCTCACTATTCCACTAATACTATTGCAGTATTTTGATTTCTTTCTGTGTTGCTGTTGCACATTGTCCCTCTCTTCCGGTCTGGTAAAACTGTCGTCACAATGACAATAAGTGGAGGGGGAACTTCTCTAATTAAGCCCCGGAGAGTGGAAAACCCAACAAGTGTTATAATCCGAAATTTCATTTAAATGCCACAATTAGTTGTCTGATACCGTGATCCCTTCTTTGTGATTTTGTTCTCAATGAAGTAACACAAGTAGTTCCCCCATTAGGAGGATTACGTTTAGGTTTAATGCCTTTTGCTAAATCCTCTGTGTTTTATTGTATATCCAAAGTTTCCTCTACAACAATATCCTGGTCATTCAGCCATTCACCTCTGGAGCTCTGTGTGGTTTATGTTGGCATTGTGCAGTGGGAATTGAATGCTAGCAGGGAAGAGTGCCATTACAGCTGCACGCTAGCAGAGGGTGGTGTGTTATTAGACAGCCTTCTAATATCCTGTAAGGCCGCCAACCTTTGTGGTGTAGCAGAATGACCATCATTATGATGGTATTGTAGCGTTTTGCAGGCAAGTTGACCACTGGCTGTCACCTGCCTTACACCTTTTACTGGTGCCTCTGGAAGTGGCATACAGCAACACAAATTCATATTGCCTTGCCTGGAATGTTGGGGGGGTCTCTTTAAGGAAATGGAGTTTCCCTACATATAAACTTGTACATGTTCTCAATGCCTTATTTTTCTCACTTGACTATTTCATAAGCACGTACTGTATAAACATACTGCACTGTATCTAAATATTGATTCTTGAATTGTATCTAAATCATTCCTTGTAACATAGGAAGTGAATGATGATGAAGAAGAGGCAAGTGATACAGAGGAAAAAACAAAGAAAAGGAAAAAACTAGAGCAGATTATCGTTACCATGAAAATGGTGTTCAAGTGGAAGTCGCAAGCTAAGGTGTGTATTTGAATGTTTAATGTCATGTGTATAGTTCTAATGCAGGGGTGCCCATTAGGTCGATCGCGATCTACCAGTCGATAGCAAAGCAATCCTGGTAGATTGTGATGTCCTGTCCTCCTGCCGTGGGGCTTCTCTGGATCCCAGCTGCCCTCCCCCATCTGTGTGCAGCCGGGATCCGAGAAATGAACGAAGCCTTGCGGGGGGCGGAGCCGCTATTAGAGCAGCACGCCGAGCGGTGAGAGAGAGAGAGACGCTCGGCCTGCAACGTCGGCCGCACGAGCACCGCGGGAGGACAGGACGCCGGCGCCTCTAGAACGCACTGGAATGCAAGCCTGCCAACTCCCTGCGTTCAGTGGCAGGAGGGGGCGTGGGGTTGTATTGAAGTCAATGGCACCGCAGTCATGCCCCCCGCCCACAGTGCGATCGCCTGCCTGCATTCCGGGCCAGTGCAATCAGCAAAAATAATGCTTGCAGCATTTTTGCAGATTGCACTGGACCAGAACGCAGGCACTAGTGTGCCTGCGTTCCAGGTGCGGGCGATCGCACTGCGGGTGAGGGGCATGGCTGCGGTGCCATTGACTTCAGTGCACCGCCATGTTCGCTCCCCGGAATGCAGGTGTTTTTTCGTTGGTAGATCTCATTGAGCTTGTCATTTGAAAAGTAGATCTCCAAACGAAAAATTGAGGGCGCCCCTGTTCTAATATCTCTGCCGCAATCTACTCGTTACAATTGAACTTGAATTCCAGAGAAGCAGCTAAATAATTGCTGTGTTAGCGCTTCCCATACGCATGTTTACTATGGTAGACTGACAAAACTTTGCTATGCAGCAAGGCTTAGCTGGCTCTTTGCACCATCTCCCCTTTTGTTGGACAATGATGGAGTATAACAACACTGATGAGTTCATCATTTTGCTCTTTTCCTGTTGTCAAGTCCTTCAGTGTTAAGGTGCCCATACACCTTACGATTATCGTACGATAATCGTATGCGATCGACTTTTCGTACGACAATCGTAACGTGTGAATAGAGTGCCCGACCGATAGTACTGTAGAATCGTACGATTTTTGACGGTCAAGCATGTTTGAAAACTGTGGCCGATCGTACGATGTTCGCATGGTTGGTGGCTTTTCCGTCCGTCAAAAGTCGTACGATTAACACTGCGCATCCAGGTGTTTTTTTTTTAACTACCGCTGATTGAACCTTTCGATAATTGGGGCAGGATGGGGCCGTCGTACGAAAATCGTACGTCGGTTCGATCATTGGTCGAAAAGTTTTGTCCGATAATCGTAAGGTGTATGGGCACCTTTTAGATTGACAGCAGCATGCAGTGCTATAGAACCTGGTTGGCTGGCACTGCTGACCTTTCCTCTCCCAGTTCTGCTATGCAGGGGGGTTACCACATACTAACAGAAATACAAATCCAGGTATTTTTATCAAATGCTTATAAGTTCATTTACCAATTTAATAAATATGTAACTAGTTCCCCAAATATCCCTAACATTCACCTAATTCCTAAAATGTATGCCTGGCCATAAAATAATTATAAAACAATTCAATATATCTATGCAATACATGCCTGTTTCCCAATGTTACAAATGTATCCCTTTTTATAATGAAGTACAAAAAAAAATCCCTGTTAATCTGCCAGAAATAGTGTACAGTGTGCTTTTAACATCCCGCTGACAACTCTGCCTCTACTGCACCAAAATCACAAGCGTTGTCAGCCATGTCCAGTTCTCTTCTTCTGAACAGTAAAACTCCTCCCCTTTTCCTTATCTCAATAATATAAGGAAGGGGATGGGGGCGGCATTCTGTAGTCTAGCAGAGGAGAACACGGGCAGAGCTGAGCTCAACGTCTTTTACTATACTTGCAAATATGCCCTAAATGTGTGTATGTGTATATATATATATATATAAAATTTGTTACATGTTCAAGAGCAGCTGTTGTTCTCAATCCAATTGCAGCATTTGTGAGACGAAGTTGAGAGCCATCAGGCAGCTGGTTCCACAACCATCAAATCTCACAGAACTGGACAGTGCTATTCATCAGGCATGGTGTCAGATTCCTCGCATCACATTTCAACATCTCGTGGAGTCAATGCCAAGAAGAATCGACGCAATATTGAAGTCAAAAGGTGGCCCAACGAAGTACTGATGGGGTGGTCATAATAATCTGGCCACTCAGTGTATATTATATAATTTTGTACACCATAATTCAAAGTTTAACATGTAACCATAAATAAAATCACTATTACCTATGTGGCTGCTGGGGCCATTCCTGCCAAAACCAGACACTCCTGCACTGAGAGAATCTCAATTTTTTCTTTTTTTTTTGCCTTTTAATTCGAACACTTTTTGTTTATAACTTATTTTTTTATACATTCTTTATAGCAACAAGAAAATGATTTAACATTCATTTATAACACCTCCTTATAATGATTTTCTGTGTTTTTCTAGACTGACCTAAGGCCACGGCTCTTTCATGAGATTGCTCAAGCTTTCAAAGCTGCAGTGTCAACAACACAAGGAGAAGAGGGTGACAGTCCCAGCAAATTTAAAGTAACGGACACTGAGGGTAAGATAGTCCATCATGTTGGAGAAGCTTGGTTCCTTATAAGTTCTAAGTGTTCAATCATCTGTATGTGAAAGTTCTATTTACTGAGAAGAGGTATTCACATGTAGTTTTTTTTGTTTATAGTCTTCAATGCACTGGTGACATTCTGTATCAGGGACCTCTTTGTTCATCTTGAGAAGAAGCTTGATGTGAAGCCTGCTAAGGGAACAAAGTAAGTTGCAGTTGACTTGGTGGAAGGTATCGAGGGTTTATATTAAGGTAGAAGGTCTAACAATGAACTACTGTTACTGGCTCCCTTTTGGTTTATTAACCCCTTCATGACTGAGGCCCTTTTTTCAATTTTTGCACCCGTTTTATATTCCACATTTTAGGCATGGAAAGTGTTTTCTCACACCTGTTTGATACGTGAAAAAATACCTGTTAAATACTGCCAGAAATCTAGTGGGCTAGAACTGTTACTAGTTAGCATTGTTCCCAGTTCTCTGAACTACAGAACACCTCTCCCTTTTTATGAAGAGGTGGTAAGTGTTTTGTAGTCCTAACTACCCTAGCTTGACAGTGCTATTCCTCCATATAAACAGTACAATGAGTTAACAGTCTTGCCTTAGGGTAGGAAGCATATCACTGGCAGGATCACAAGGTAAAATGCGTGAAAAAACACTATTTTTTACAAATTTTTTTTTTACCCTGTCAGGTTGCTTTAACTGATAACATATCCAGATTGAAGATCATCCCTTTGATCTGCACATGAATGAAAGAGTAAATACAAAAGTCACAGTGTCACTTTGTATCTCTCTGTCTCATGGCTGATCGGTGTTTGTAAAACACAGCAATTCCACAAACTCGTTTTGACAGCCGGGAATTGCTGGGAAGTGTGAAAAAGGAGAGGGTGAGGCAGAAGGTCAGGGCACACCACACTCACTCCCGGTATACTTTGACGTTTTTGGATGTGTGTAGCACACTCCGTGTCCATTACTGATTCAAGAATACAGTGGTTTCCACCCCAGCCTTCTGACTGGGCATTGAAAGAAACGTCAGCAGACTGATGAGGTCCGGTCGGTCCTAAGTCAAAATTGGTCCCAAAATGTATTCACTGGTAGTGAATGCAGAGCTGCAATCATTTTGTGTATTTTATATTTGGCTGAAGTTCAGCTTTGAAGTAGTACTTAACTCTCAAACATTTTTTTAATAATAAATCCAGATCAAACAAATATACATTGCCTAGCAGAGTATTTCTTTACATTTTTGCAAAAGCACCTACTGTCATCATGTTTCCGAACAGCTGGCTTCAACTCTCTCAGCTCTGCTTCCCTGAACTTCCTGTCCAGTACAAGATCACAAGGGACAGCGCAATCTCCAGCAGCTGTCCATCTACTTGCTTGCAGGAGGGCGGAGGAAGAAGAGAGAATGGAGGATGGAGAAGCAGGGTGCAGTGTAGTGGTTTGCCTTGTTTCTGTGTGATTGTACAGACACACAAGCAGACACACAGCTTACTAGCACACACAAGGGTGGTTCTATAGGGCCCTACAAGGGGAAGAGCCACCCTAAAACAGAATATCCGGTCCAGTGCTCAGGGGACAAGCAGGGGACTTCCTATCTGTAAGCATGCTCTCTGATGAATTACTCCATGAACTCTAGGCAGATATAAATGCCAAACTTTTGCAGCTTTCTAAACATTTATATATCATTAAATGTATTTTTTAAAATGCAAGCAGTTTATGTACCTACATTTGACCTGCTATCAGCCTGTTGTAGGTTCTGGACCTGTTGTAGGTTCAGTAGTAGAAGAGGCCAATCAGTTCATGTCATGTGCTTTCAAGAAGCATACTGATATGAAGAGAAAGCAGAGTCATGGAACGATGAGCTCATCACTGTGCTGTTTCTCCTTTCGGTGTCCAGTGACAGGCTGGGGCTAGTCCAGCTGAACCTGGGCTAAGAGGAAGTGGGTTTAATGATGCTGGCCATCAGATTGAGGACATCTTGTGGGAGAAAAGCGTAAAGTAGTGCTGTGTGGGAAATCTCTCGATTGAAGCTGAATATTGCCGCAAAAGCCGGTTTTGTCATTTTATGTTTTAATGGACTTTTATATTTAAAGCTGAATGCCTGTCTGAAATATGGAATTATAAACATATGCATTTGTATTTGTGGCTGAAGTTCTGCTTTAAATATTTTTCTTTCCTCCGAAATTAATAGGTGCTACCAGCTAATCCACAACTAACCCACGTCTCATTTCTGTAGGTTATCAAATCCATCAAGTTGTGCTCTTTGGAAGAAGCTAAATTTGGATATTAAAATGTATTTGAACTCTGTCATCCAGGTAACCTTGATCTTTTGATATGCTAAGCCATCGACTAAAGGTGCCCATACACTCTGGAGCAGCTGTGCATTACAGCCAATCGGCTTCTATCTTTCATTTTCAGAACTATGAGGTGGGTGAAAATCATTCGGCCTCATAGTTCGAGCCGACGTGTCACAATTAAACTGTCACACTTCGGCTCAATAGATCGTAAGTGAACGAACACATACCGTCGCTTGCTCATTTCTTGATCTCCCTGCAGAGAGCGGTGACTGTCAGTCACGGCTCCCTGCAGGGATTCTCCCCTCCGACTTTCCAGCGCTGAGTGGAGGAACGGACGGGGAAGGGTGCGGGTACAGCTAGTTCACGCAGAGCCAGCTTTCAGTCACGCAGCTGGGTAAATCTCAACAGTAATGTCGGGATCCGTCCCGGCTGTGGCGGTCTCAGTATACCGCGAGCTATAGCTCGTGATATACAGAGCTTTGGTTCACTGGAGGACGCTAGTATGTCCTGACCCTTAAGAGAACTATGGGGAAAACCACTTACCCCATAGTTCTCTTTTAACTGAATAAAGAGAGAAGCCGATTGGTTTTGAGAGAAGAGAAGCCGATTGGGCAACTGCTCCAATTTTAAGGGAAGTCTCCCCTGCCAGGCTATTGTATTCTGATAGCCGCCACCCACAACTGTTAAAATGCCTGAGCAGTGACTGCCTGCAATTGTCGGCTTGACTCCAACAAAAATTGGTTGAAAAATTGACATTTGTCCGGAATTCGAGCATGTTAAAAAATGCTCTGTGAAGTCTCTGAAAAAGCAAACCGCTGCACTTTGATAAACCCTCTGGGCTAGTTTACTCCACAAACAGTGTGTTCCAGCCCGATTTGGTGCCCCGGAGCGCACTGGATTGCATCCTGGCCGGCTCTTTATCCTAATAGTATTGCAGCAGCAAATTGAGGTTAGGGCATTCTGCTTTAAGAATAACTGTAATTACATTATTTCATTTTCGTCAGCTCCTGACCTGTCTGACAGAAGCCTCGGTTGGTGCAGCTCTTCTTCAGCACGTGAACAACACTGTACATTTTTACCTGTGCTTTCCAAAACAAACCCGTCAGCTACTAAAGGTAAGTTAGATTTCCTGCTTTCCTTTACGGTTTAGTAAAGGTACATACTGCAGCAATAGCACATGTTCAGCCTTGGCCGGTCTCACATTGGATGTAATAATTTGAGTCATACTTTGTGCTTTTGCAAGCAGTGTGGCAGTGAATTGAGTAAACAAAGACATTTCACAGATCTTGTTTATGTTCAATGGAAGATGGATGTCACCTTTTGGCAAGTGACAGAAAAATATTAAATACTGAAAGTGTATCTAATAACTTACAAGAAGCAAAGACTTCTGCGTACACAACTGTCATTCTTCATTCACTTGTACTGGGCTCTGAATGAGGCACGAAAGGTTTGGGGTCCACTGTGTGTTTCCCCCAAATCGCTGCAGTAATCCAGTGTGAAACTCTTCCTCTATGTAGGAGTTTCCTGTAATAAAGACCGGTCACTGCTGCTCATTGCTGGTGTAAGGTGACAGGTCTTGTATCTGCCCCCTCCTGTAGCTCTCTTCAGGTTCTGCTCTCTGCGCAGGCTATGTGCAGCACATTGATTGTCATGGCTACTATTAGGGTTGCACAGATACCAAGTACAGTACTCGGTACAAGGACGAGTACCGATACTTTTGAGCTCCAAGACTAGACTAGAGAAAAGTTAGGAGGCAGCTGTCATTTGTACAGAGCACACGGAGCTCCTGGGATTTGTACATCTCTGTTTTAATGTACGATTTTGTTTTTATAAATATAAATAAAGGGATGCACAGATACCAGTTTTGCGAGTACTGGTGCTTGCCGAGTACTTACAAGTACGAGTACTGATACATTTTTGTTGTCATGTGACAGTTTTTCTAAAACAATACAGACTAATGATTTCAGGACAGTGGTGGAGTGCCAGAGCCAGGTCCCAGCTGCAACCGCTGCAACCCTGTTAGTTCTCATGAAAATGCCAAGTATCTGCACTGGTACTCGAAAAGTATCTGTGCATCCCTAGCTACTATTATATGGTAATATCTGGGTTTCCAAAGGTATTTGGTGCACACAAAGTGGATTTAAATCCTCTGTGGATATAAAGGAATATATTTAAGATTTTTATGTGCCCGGAGTTTAGCATTAAAACATTACAATTGGAGTAGATACTGTTCCCTTAGTAAACTGTTCACTGATCTTAGTATATAAATTGTAGCTGTGTTCACTTCACAGCCTTTTTTTCGGTCTGTTTCCACTTCGGGAACATTACCTCTCATCTGTCATATTTGCCAATATACTACCCTAAGTTTAACCTCAGTAGTCTGCCCAACCTCCATGGGTATCCCAGATTTGGGGTGTATATCCTCTGGGGTGCTGGGATTGGTTGCTGGGGTTTCACAGTTATAAAGATGAGGGTCTTTTACACATCTTGGTGGCCATGCACCTTGTCTGATAGAAATGTGTCCAGTGAGGAGGGTCATTTGGCAAAACTAGGGCTGTAAATTTTCAGACACCGTCTTCGTTGCACTGTGAATTAATGGGCAGTATTATTTTCTTGCTTAACTACTTTTGGATATGTACATGAAGATATAATATCAGAAGCAGTTTTTTGTTACCACCAGTGTGGTCCTTGTACAGCAGAATCATCCCCCCTGGCCACTCGATATCTCGGCGTATATTTGTCACTCTTGAAAGCCAGCAGCTTTCACGGTACAAGGACGAGTACCGATACTTTTGAGCTCCAAGACTAGACTAGAGAAAAGTTAGGAGGCAGCTGTCATTTGTACAGAGCACACGGAGCTCCTGGGATTTGTACATCTCTGTTTTAATGTACGATTTTGTTTTTATAAATATAAATAAAGGGATGCACAGATACCAGTTTTGCGAGTACTGGTGCTTGCCGAGTACTTACAAGTACGAGTACTGATACATTTTTGTTGTCATGTGACAGTTTTTCTAAAACAATACAGACTAATGATTTCAGGACAGTGGTGGAGTGCCAGAGCCAGGTCCCAGCTGCAACCGCTGCAACCCTGTTAGTTCTCATGAAAATGCCAAGTATCTGCACTGGTACTCGAAAAGTATCTGTGCATCCCTAGCTACTATTATATGGTAATATCTGGGTTTCCAAAGGTATTTGGTGCACACAAAGTGGATTTAAATCCTCTGTGGATATAAAGGAATATATTTAAGATTTTTATGTGCCCGGAGTTTAGCATTAAAACATTACAATTGGAGTAGATACTGTTCCCTTAGTAAACTGTTCACTGATCTTAGTATATAAATTGTAGCTGTGTTCACTTCACAGCCTTTTTTTCGGTCTGTTTCCACTTCGGGAACATTACCTCTCATCTGTCATATTTGCCAATATACTACCCTAAGTTTAACCTCAGTAGTCTGCCCAACCTCCATGGGTATCCCAGATTTGGGGTGTATATCCTCTGGGGTGCTGGGATTGGTTGCTGGGGTTTCACAGTTATAAAGATGAGGGTCTTTTACACATCTTGGTGGCCATGCACCTTGTCTGATAGAAATGTGTCCAGTGAGGAGGGTCATTTGGCAAAACTAGGGCTGTAAATTTTCAGACACCGTCTTCGTTGCACTGTGAATTAATGGGCAGTATTATTTTCTTGCTTAACTACTTTTGGATATGTACATGAAGATATAATATCAGAAGCAGTTTTTTGTTACCACCAGTGTGGTCCTTGTACAGCAGAATCATCCCCCCTGGCCACTCGATATCTCGGCGTATATTTGTCACTCTTGAAAGCCAGCAGCTTTCCCTTAGTGTCCAGTTCTTTCCCTTGCAGTGGGAAAGGACTGGACACTAGTATTGCCTTTAGACTCCCTACAGCAGATATTTCCCTATTGGAAACTTGCAATGCTTGTTTTGCTGTGTGTCTCTGTGTGGGGGAGACCATCTCGGTAGAAAAGCAGGGCTTTACTTCCTGATGCCTTTTTTAGGTACATCTTCCTCATCACCGGGTCCTCTGTAGAGCATTGATCTGCACAATAGTGACATCACAAAATCAATCTCCATTCAGATCATGTGAGGATAGCAATCACAAGCAGGAGAAGGTGGGATATTGCTAAGATGTTCTCCACTGCAGATATATGCAGTTATAAGGCTACAGAAAGACTTTGCCTAGGCCCAGTCATGACTTCACATGAAGTGTACTGATTTTTATCAGGAGAAAATAAATTGTAAGGGCTCAGGTAATATTAACTTTCTGTATTTTCCATAAAATCTTTACTTTTTGAGTCTAGGTTCATTTTAAGATGTAGTAATCACGTGTTTTTCCTTTGCACAGCAAACCATTATTCTTTGGAGTACAGGAGAAGAAACAGTCAGAGTTTTAGCATTCTTGGTACTAAATAAGATCTGCAGACACAGGCAAGACAAGTATCTCAACCCAGTTCTGAAGGTAAGGTCCTTAACTGAACATCAACTGCTTGAGCTATTATTTGCTCTGTCTTGTAAGGATGGATCTGAAGTTTCTGAAGTTTCTCTACCAATATTATCTTTGTGAGAATTGGGTTAGTCAATCTGACACATGTCAGCAAAATGGATTAAAAAATGACTTGGTTAAAAGCTAGGGATGCACTGAATTTTTAAACCGAAATTAAAACCGAAGTCAAAAATTATGGGGGGTTTTTCCCAACTTTTTTTTAAATTTATTATTTTTATTTTTTTTTACTTTACTGTTGGGGTCTCTGGGGAAATATTAGGGGTCTAAAGACCCCTAGACCCCTAATATTTCCCTTTTTAAAATAGAAAAAGATTGAAGGCATAAAGTCCTCAATCTCTTTCTGCAGCCCCTGTTATGAATGAACAGGAAGCCTCCTGTGCACCTGTCCATTCATAAACTGTGGATATAGTATGAGTTATGTCCAAAATCATGAATAAACAGGAAGTGATGTAGAGCACTTCCTGTTTATTCATAACTGGGGACAGTAAGTGTACTACATCCTGAGTTATTTACAAACACTCAGTGATTAGTCCTTATCACTGAGTGCTTGTACCCCGCTCTCCTTCCTGACTCACCTGTCACAGGAGGCTGGGCAGGGCGTTGAGGGAGGAGAGCTCGGCCCCCTGTTACAGCTGACAGCTCTTTACTTCCCCCGCAACGCTCCACTCGGTATATTGAGTTGTCTCTTCTCCGCACTACTACGCTCAGCCTCCTGAAAGCCTTTCTTCTCCTTGCTGGGTGCCTTTCTGTGTTCCCTCGGATTCCTGCTTTCTCTGCTGACACAAGCGGAGGAGAGCGGCGGGCATCGAAGGGGACACAGACCAGCATCCATTTTCATACTAAATGTTTCGGTGGCTGAAATTTCAGTTCATCCCTACTGAGAAAAGAATAAAAAATTCCCCCATCTGCCTCTACCCTCACATGTAACCTGATGTACCTTGTACACAGTAGTGGCTGGTTTTCTTTGTTTAAAACTAATGTAATAAAATAATCTTCCCCATCAATGCCAAGGGAAATGAAAATTAAATTCTATCTTCATGTATGTTAAACATATTTAGGCTAACTAAACCTGTGCTTTGTTTATTTTTTTAAAGTTTATTTAACCTGATTTGTAGTTCAGTGGTTTACCATAAAACCTGATGATCTGGAGGATATAAAAGGCACACGTTTATACAGCTCTGTATTCATTAATACACCTTTTTAAAAATATTTTTAAATACCTGAACCTGACCTGGTTAACAGCCTCTTGCAATACCCTGCACAGCAGAGCATAGGTAAGCATAGGGAGAACCAGCCAGTCAGTTGTGCTGTAGTGCTCAAGTTCTAACAAGGGGAGAGCAGAGTGACCACAGTAGACACATGCTTTGGTAGGTAAAACCGATCCCATATGTACAACCCCAATTCCCAAAACGTTGGGACACTTTGTAAAATCTAGATGAAACAGAATGGGATGTCTTGCAAATCTCATAAACCCAGATTTTATTCACAATCCAAAATTAAACGGAGAAAATGTACGATTTTAAGAAAAAAATAAGGTCATTTTTTAATGGCAGCAACATGTCTCAAAAAAGTTGGGACAGGACAACAAAAAGCTGGCAAAGTAAGTGGTACTAACAAGGAAGAGCTGGAAGAACATTTTGACATTTTGCAACAGATTAGGTTAATTTGCATAGTAGAAGAGTCCGAGTGCTTAACTGGCCTGCTGCAGCTCAAACCTTTAACCCAATGGCAATATGGCGCATGTTGAAACAAAAAAATATGACAATGAAGACCCAGGACTGTTGAGCAGTTAGGCTGGGTTCACACCTGGGCGTTTTGACACGCTGAAAAACGCCCTGCCCCCGAACTAGCACAGGAGCTTCTTTTGGGGCGTATTTCCGCGCATACCGTGTTTCCCCGAAAATAAGACACTGTATTATATTTTTTTGCCCCCAAAAAAACACACTAGGTCTTATTTTCAGGGGATGCCTTATTTTTTTTGAATGCTGATCCCTTTCTTTCACTTTCACAGGCGGAGTGCATATGGTATCACTCTGCCTGTCACAGTAACCGACGATATAGAGGAAGTATCGGCTAATGCGGCTCTGCTCCCTCCACCACTGCAGCCTTGCTTTCTTCAGCGCCGGCTTCCTTTGCCATCAGGGACAGGGGTACCAGCGGTGCAGCAGTGGGGACATCAGACAGTGGACAGCGCGGTAAAGTACGGTACCATTTACCGGTACACATTACAGTAAAGTACCATTACATTAAGCAGTGCCTTCAGGGGGACAGCAGTTGGTGAAGTATGGTAATGGAGTGCTCCCTGTCACTGCGCTGGCCTGAGGGAGTCCCCTGTCACCCCTCAAGTCCCCCCTCACATGCTACCGCCAAACTAGGTCTTATTTTCAGGGTAGGTCTTATATTACAGGAATCTTGAAAAATAGTGCTAGGTCTCACTTTCTGGGTAAGTCTTATTTTTGGGGAAACAGGGTATCTATTGGTATTCCCGAGTGTGGCTCGGGGTTAACAAATCGGTACCCCCGAGCCACACTCAGGAATACAGCGTAGGACTTACCTTGTCCGCGATCCCCGCTGTGTCCTCCGGCCGCTGCCGTCTTCCGGGTTCCGCCCCTTGCGAGCATCCGCGTCGCAGGGGGGGGCGGAACCGTCGCTAAAAACGGGCTTAAAAACCGAGCATAAAACGAGCCTATTTGGAACGCCCAGGTGTGAACCCAGCCTCAGAATCCTATATCGGGCAAGAATTGGAAAACATTCCTCTCCCAAAACTCCAGCAACTGGTCTCAGTTCCCAGATGTTTACAGAATGTTGTTAAAAGAAGAGGGGATGCTACACCGTTGGCCCTGTCTGAACTTTTTTGAGATATGTTGCTGCCGTCAATTTCCATATGACCATGTTTTTTTCTTAGAATGGTCCATTTTCTCAGTTTAAACATTTGAAGTGATTTCTAGTGAGAATAAAATCTGGGTTTATGAGATTGTGTAAATCATTGCATTCTGTTTTTATGTAGATTTTGCACAGTGTCCTAACTTTTTTGGAATTGGGGTTGTATATTATCTGTGTATTTAAAAGAGAACTATGGGGTAAGTGTTTTCCCCTACTAGTTCTCTTAAGGGTCACAGGAGAACACATACTAGTGTCCTCCCGTAACCCAAAGCTCAGTAAATCGAGAGCTGCAGCTCACGACATACTGAGACGCCGCAGCCGGGACGGATCCTGACATTACTGTTGAGATCCACCCAGCTGTGTGAGTGACAGCTGGCTCTGCCTATCTAGAAGCAGAGCCATCTGTACCTGCCCCCTCCCCGTCTGTTCCTCCACTCAGCGCTCGAGAATCGGACAGGGGATTGGGAGAATCCCTGCTGGGAGCCGTGAGTCACAGTCACGGCTCTCTGCAGGGAGATGATTGAGAAGTGAGCAAGCAACGTTATGTGTTCGCTCACTTCCCGATCTATTAGTTGTGTTGTCACAGGTCGGCTCGAACTATGAGGATGAGTGATTTTCACTCGCCTCATAGTTCTCCTTTAGGGCTGCAACAACTAATCGACATAATCGATTATAATCGATTATTGAAAAAGTTGTCAACTTTTTCAATAATCGATTAATCGGCTTCCGATTGGTTGGCCCTGTTCACGGCTCCACACACGCTGCACGCCACACCTCCTCCCCACCTCACGCTCGCCGCTGCCAGACCCGCCCGCATCCAC